GTGGCTTGTATTCGGACGGAAAAGGCCCACCTGTCATCCTTATCAAAGCACACACCTCTAGCACGACATTCCAGGCTCTTGCCACTGCCCGCAAATTTTCTCCACATCCTCTTTTTATCCTTTCTCGAACTTGTTGCCGCGGCGTGACCTCATCGCCTTCAAACTCTCTCCACTCTTTTATACCCGACCCGTCTCCCACCTAGCCCTTCCTGCACCATGGATCCCTAAACACCAAGATTGCTCCCGACCAGAGCAATCCGGCTGACTTTGGTCTTCCCTCAGTTGTTTCTTTGAACGCGAATAAGCCGCGCCCCGACAAATCATTGACACCCACGTCCATGATTTAGCCTGGATCTCACCTCAATTCGTCTTCCGACGCATCCAGCAAAAAGAAACCCTCTTCGCCCTGCCAGGCCCCAATCATCGTCGTGGCAACTCCAGTACAAGGCTTCCGAATGCCTTACACACCCCCCTCACATCATCGGTCGCCGGCCTCGTCGGCCCCCACCTCGCCAGACGTCAGCCGGAGATCGTCATTTCACCAAGGACAGAATGGAAACTCAAGGCCAGTGCTGCCTCGATCAGCTTCTTACCTGACGAAACAGCGCCGGACTCCGTCAGCTCCCGGTCCTCCAAGCAGAATCTCCGAGCCCTCGCCCGCATCCACAAACGAGGATTTGGCAGGCATGCTCAAGAGCAGCACCGTGCGACAGTCACCTCCACCAGTCACAAGCGATCGGGGGATGCCAAACGGCGCGGTAATATCCCCTCCTGACTCATCTAGCGATGACGATGACCTACCAGAAGTCCACATCGAGGCCCGGGGGAGGCAGATTGAGAACCTCAAAGAGCTACACGAAGCCATCAGCCAGATCCCTCAGCACCGATCAAGCTCACCAGACCGAAACAAGACCAGCGTCGCCCTCACAGAAGCACCAGATGCCGGCGACCTGCTTGTCTTGTCGTCCCAGTCAAATGCTATTTCTGAAGGTATGCACCAGAGTTTTAGCCTAGGCCAGCTTGGCGACCTCGCAAACAGAGGCAATCGAAGAATCTCTCACGCGAGATCGGCAACCGAGCCAGATTGTATCATCCTCGACACACCTATCGGAAGCTCATTGACAAGTTCAGAAGAGGATTCCGACGAGGAGACGCATCGAAAGCCTCAAATGGTACGGAAGAAGTCGGGGGAGCTCGTTCGACCTGCGCTCCGTCCTTCTTCCCGCAGGCGACCGTCGAGCATGCCTGGCACGCCAACCTTCTCTAAGGCAGTGCATTTCGACTCGCATCTTGAGCACGTGAGGCACTTCCTCCAGGTCGACCGTCCGCTTGCCGTCAGCGCTGGATCATCGCCGGTCGATAGCCACGATAGCGACACTGAATACCCCTTCACTGGCGACAACCGCTCCAGCACACCCTCGCTCCCCCACGAATGGGACATCATTATGTCCAACTTCCCTGCCGACACACCAGCCCGGAAGACACTGCCGGTTCGGCTGGAACGGGTTTGGCTGTCCAACGATCAGAAATGCCTGATAGGATCCGTTGTCGTGGCCAATATCGCCTTCCAGAAATTTGTTACGTGCAGATTCACTCTCGATTATTGGAAGACAACATCAGAAGTCACCGCCGAGTACATGAGTGAGATTCGGCCCGACGACCAGTCCATCGGCCACGACAGGTTCAACTTTACCATCAAGTTGTCCGACATGGCAAATCTGGAATCCAAAACGTTGTACTTCTGCATTCGATATAACGTCACCGGGCAGGAGCATTGGGACAACAACGGCGGTATTAACTTCCAAGTCGACTTTCGGAAGAAGATGCTTCCGCAAAATGGCAAGAAAGGCGTCATTGGCGCCGCGTCCCGCCCTGTCAATGGACTACCAAAGAGCCAGCGCCGTGCCGCTCCGTCAGTGGTACCAAGACCCAAGTCGATGCCGGTTGGTGCGGACGACTTTGGCGACGACTCGAAGCTGTCGTTTGACCATTCCCTTGATGATTACCTGAGAGATGCCATGACAACCAGCCTCAGGCTCAAGGGTGTCAAGAGCACGACCAATCTACCCAGCGATAACCTCTCCAACCGCCTGCCAGCACCCAGTGGCCAGGCCTTCGCCAATCGGTACGATTTTGGTGCGTCGCTCAACGCCGCCATCCAGACTGCCAAGGATTCGACACCTGGGAAGCCTGATGGGCTATACATGAAGCCCTCCAACAAGAAGCCGTTTGTTCCTCCAGCACTCAGCACGCACAAGGACATGACCAGGAGCAGAGAATCTGTCAAGCCTTCCGGCTCGGCGCCCGTCACAGCGGCGTCCAAGCCAGCGCCTAAGCCCGCCACCACTGTCTCAGGCACAGATTCCCCGAGTGCGAGCATCTCATCATCGTCATATGAGGAGCTCGTCAACAAATACTGCTTTGTAAGTAACACGGATTACATCTACTCCGGTCAAAGTCCCTCACCAGGATCCGACAAAGACAGCTTCCTAGATCCCCGTCCGCATTTACTAACTTGCCCGATGACAGTTTGGAACCAAGCCTCTGAGTCCTCAACTCAAGGACGGTACATTACGGGGGGGTCGTTTTGACGGCGCCGACGACGCCTCCAAGAGCACTGACAGCAGCAGCACGTCAAGCTACGAATCCAGTCCTGTCCAGCTCAACAACTACTATCACAGCCACAGCGGAATTCAACATCATTCCTTGCATCCGAAGGACCCGAATCCCTACTTTCAGCACACCTCGCCATTCTTGTCTATGGGGGCGTCGCCCTCACAATCGCCACTCCACAACCTCTCTCCCCAGCTGATGGGGAGCCCCTTGGCTGGGCAGATGCAGTCTTCGTCAGCGTCAAGCCAGACTGTTGGACGATCCCCGTCGCCGGCTGCGTTAGTAGGCAGCTTCACGCCCTTCGCCGGTACGTCGTCGAATGAGTATCCATACCAGCAAACGCCCGACCGCTTTCCATTTTCTAGTGCCGAGGCTCATTCTGCGACAGCAATTAGGGGCTGATGGACCAACCAGCCGAGGCAACTCAGTCTGAGCTCTCTTCCATGCTTGCCTCAACAAGACGGCGGCTGCCTCAGCCTAGCATATCGACGCTCACAATCGTCAAATCAACTAACGAGGACGACTGATCCACCCCATCCACGCTACACCCGACGCTGTACAATTGCTCAACAACGCTCGTCCGACGGGACACTAATTATCATATTCTCATTTGCCGGTTTTCGTTCTCCTAAAATTACAGCATCGGCTGGCTGTTTGGCGTTTGGGGATACACACTTGCTTTTCTGGCATGATGAGACGCGACCTTGATGTATGATAGGGACTCTGATCGGCTTGGCACGAACAGGGCTCCCAAGTGGTTTTGCCTCCAACTGAGGCGGCATCGCGGTCCGGCATATACGAACGTATTTTCTTTTTTTCATGGTCAAAAGGCGTCTGATTCGTTTTGCATCAAATGAAGCCTGGCTTTCTTTTTCTCTGCATCGCCTTCCGTTATCATTGTTTAGCGGTTTCAAAAGGGGCATTGCCTTGTTTTATTTATAATTGGTTCTTTGATGGCACGTTTTGCCTTGCGGCGCTGTTTCAAGCGCCCCAGTGGAACTTGCCGGGTGGGTTCGGGACTACTGGAGGGGCTACAAAAGGGCTGGTCGAGCGGGCAGAGTGCTGCCACAGATTGCATCAACCTGGGCAAGGACAACTTTCGCCGCAGGCATTGGGCTCTAGCAACTAGCGTGTTGCTTGGTTGAACAAGTTTTGTGTTCATCATCTCTATACGTTACTCTTTTACTACCGCCTTCGATCTTCATGGTAGTCACTATAACCTCTGATGGATCTGTCTCGTTGTGTCCGATGGCTGGGGGCTGCGTTTTGAGTTGAGCCATCACACCCAGTCCGGTCGCGACGTGAGTTGGACTGAACTGGACTGGACTCTAGGCGGCTTGTTATATTGGTACGGCCGCCTTGTCTGTTTTCTGCTCGCATGCACGCGTGTGGGGACGAGACCCACGACACGAAGCCGGGAACGAGAGATATATCGACACCAAGGGAAAAGAATGGGGTTCTCACGCCAAAGTATTATGGGGGGCAGTGATCACTGCGACTATGCTGGCTTTGGTGCACGTTTTTGGGAAGGGCAGTTTCTTTGACAGTCCGCCCGCGGGCCTGGTCTGGTTTGGTCTGGTCTGGGGACAATGGGAACGGAAATGGTTATGGATGAGAAGGGTAGAACAGAATGGCTACCTATTGATTGACCAACGGAGGAATAGGATGGAGTTCATAAAAATACAATACAGACGCTTTTTGAGCATGAATTCAAGGCATCATTTATTCCGCTTGTTCGAATTTTGTTTTGTCACCTGGCTTGCGTGATGGCGATCCATGTGAGAGTAAGTGTCCTACAAGGGGACAGTGGACAAGAGGCTGGCATTACATGTACATCAAGCATCGGCATCATCAAGACAATTAACATATTAGGTAGCGAGGTTAGTATTTTCTCAACTCGAAGCTAACAGACACGACACATGAGGCACACAGCATTGGACATGTGTAAAACGTCTTGAGGTCCAACTCCACGAGAATTCTTGGTAGACTGTGAAATGATTAAATATCAGTCTTTCCCTGTTCTCAACGAGATATCTACGTTAGACGATTAACCGAAGGTAGACTCGGCATCAACTATGATCGAAGCAACGGGGAGATAAAACAAAGCATAATTAAACCACTGGCAGTCCAGTCCACATTCATTCCGGGCAGCATGATACGTATCACACAAGGTGTCAAGGTCACGATATCCCTGAAACACGAATGCATGTATGGTCTCCACCCCCGCCCGAGTCAAACAACCCGGCCTGGCTCAACCGGGTTTTCACCAAAGGGGGGGGGGGGGATTCCACTTGATTACTTTCCTGGAACTCTCTCTCTCTCTCGCTAGGTGAAACAGAATTCCTCCCTGTCATTCCCATCCAAGAACCACTGGCTTTAAACAAGAAGCCCGGCTAGCTCAATCGGTAGAGCGTGAGACTCTTACATTCTTCGGCTTCCCCCTGCAAGGACTGGTGAGACTGGTGGACATCTCAAGGCTGTGGGTTCGACCCCCACGTCGGGCTCAATTCCCGGCGTCAGATGGTAGATTCTGATTCCTTTTTTTGTCTCTTTTCCTTTTTTGCTTCTTTTTCGTTTTTGTTTCCCCTTGTTTCAACATTTGGTGTGTGTGTGTCTCTCAAGCTTTGCTTCTTCAATGTTTGTTCATTTCCGTTCAAATCCTCCACCAACCTCAGCTGACTCAAGGGGAGTTTGTCGAAGTTTCCTAGACAGCAATAACAAACTTGTTAACCTGCAAAATAATTAATCCTGATATACTAATAGGTCTCAACAGTATATATGTTATCCGTTTGCGCACCACCGAGGTAATTGCATCATAACACAAAGATGGCTGACTATTTGCCAGATGCGGTGATTGGGCAACCTGTTCACCTCGGTGAAAGTTCCCTCTCGTCTCGAACTGTGGAGTGTGCTACGGGATAACTGCCAAGGAGTCCAGGCGTCCTTGGCGTTCAGCCCTGTCGGCTGCATGGTGCAACATGACATGGAACCCAAAGATGGATGCATTGCATCAGCCCCAGCCCATAATTAGGTAGCTCTGCAAGGTCGGATCTCCCCATTTTTCTATCAAGAAGTAATTGATTATGCAAAGAGATTTTGGTGAGTACCTTAATTATTACCTCTCACAGTGAGAACTTCAATTGTACTGACGAGCCACGACATGAGGCCAACCACCTGGACCGGACTCTTTTTTCTTCTCACAAGCTCAAACGTGGTGTCCTTCCCCGCCAAGGTGCCACTATCCCTCGAATTTCGATAATCAACCGCGCTACCGCCACATTGGGGCGACGGGCTCGCTACAGGCCTTGGCAACCATGAAAATCTCGAGCGATGTCCTTCACGTGGGAGGGAAAGCGTCGCTAGTCATGGCATCCAGACTGCAAGAGACTCACTCGATCGCCGTGCCCGGGCAAAGGCACTCGGTGCCATATTTCTTGCGAGCTGTGTCCTTTCTCCGGTGATATGCTTTGCTTTTGCGATGCAGTGGTGGGTGAATGGGCGGGTGGGTGGCAGTGCTCGAGACAAACGTTCGACAAAACTCGACATTTGTTCATCCATTCGCCGGACCAGAGGTGAGACCAGACCAATGGACGCATCCAACGTCTTCTGCCACCCAGCATGTCGGATGCAGCCCAGATTTGGTGTGGGCAGACGGAGGGAGCTCCGCCCAGAAAACGGCCTTCAGCCGCCGACACTCTGCATCCACCGCTTTTGGGTCTAACATGCGCTGGCGTCGAACCAGTGGACGGGATTTGCTTGGTCGGGCGTCCATCGTGGCGTTTTCTCAACGCGTTCAGCTGCAGTGCCCGGGACCCAGGACTCACGACATGGAGTGAAGGAAATCAACAAAAGGGAAGCTCGGCCCCCGTGCGGGCGAAAGTGCGGGCGAAAGTGCGGGTGTGGCTTTTTGAGCTTTCTCGGTTCTGCATTTCGCTTTTGCCATCCATCCATCGTTGAGCTGCTGGCTTGGGCATCTCATCAGCTGTCCGTGTGAAATACTCATCAAGAAGAGACGACGTGCCAGCACCGCACTCCCCCTGGTTGACATTGTTTTTCCTTCTCCATGATGGCGACCACCACCGCCGTCGCAGCGGCAGCACCGCCGCCGCCGCTGCCCACCCCGATGCAGACCACATTTATGCCCGCGCTCCGGGCGCTGCTGCCGAGATCACGATTCACAAACAGCTCCGTCACGACAAGAGGGCCCGATTGCGCTGTAAGCTCCAGTCTTCAGGGCCTCCTGATTTATGTTCCCTGATGACCACAAGGCGCGCAGTACTGACATGGACGGTGGTCGTGCTGCAGAAATTCGATGGCTTCCAGACGTGCAGCGCAGGGGGCGACTACGGGTCGTGCATCTCGGGCAAGGCGACGTCGTCGTGCAACTGCAACTTTGGCGTCGGCTACCTAGACTGTCTCTCGGCGGCCATCGCGACCTCGAGCTGCTGGGGCGACGCCAACGTAGGCATCGCCAGCGCCGACTGGGACGGCTACGAGCGGTCGTGGTTCCAGACCGGGTGCGCGACGCCGCCGGCCAGTGTCATGCTGGAGATTCCCCAGCCGTGAGTCCACAAGTAGCCAGGAGACATGATACTCATCACCTCAAGTTCCATGTCCCGACTAACATCGCCTTGAACTCTAGCACCTCGGTTCAGATCGACTTTGCGTGAGACAACACTCTTCCCCTCCCCTCGAAGAGCCCTGACAGGAGAATCCCATAGCTGACTGCGTGCAGACCGGTCAACGTGGTGACACCAGCGGCGGCCGCGCCCCCCGTTGCCGCCACCCAGATCGACCCGCCCAAGTACAGCGGCACCGGCCAGCTGCTGGTCGGCGCGTGCAGCGACCCGACCTACACGCTGATCGACGGCGGCGACGCCGTGTACCTGGCCGCGTTTGTGGGCTGCGGCGCCGACCGGCCCGAGTGCTGCCCGTGGAGCGTGTCGACCACGGCCACCACCGTCACCGCCGCCGCCGCCACCCAGGCCGGCGTCCGCGTCGCCGGCGGCGCAGGCGACTTCCCCCTGCCGGCCTCGGGCGTGCAGACCAACCTCGCGCGCTGCCCGGACGACTACTACTCTGTCTCTGGCCAGTGCTGTCCCAAGTGCGTCCACTGCTTCCCCCCCTTCTCCCCCGCGCATGCATACACTGTTTACTAACCCAATACCAGTGGCTTCTACAAATTCACCAGTATGATCGCCCACCAGACGCCCTGCTTCAGCTCGCTCGCGTCAAAAGTGACCCCCCCGCCCGTCACGGCCGGGCAGGAGAACAACCCGACCGACACGTCGAAGCCGACCTCGGCCGTGGTCAACATCGCCTGGGCCATGGGGTACAACGTGTCGAGCGACGCGGGCGGCGGCCCGCCGCTCTCCAAGGGCGCGACCATCGGCATCGGCGTCGGTGCCGGCGTCGTGGCCGTGGCGCTCGTGGTCACGGCCGCGCTTGTCATTTTGCGCATCCGGCGGAGCAAGAAGGCTGCGCTTGAGGAGCAGCGGGCTGATGATGATGCCGGTGGACGGCTCGGGAGCACGTATCTCGGCGCTGGGTATAATGACCAGGCTGCGCCGACGGTGCCGGTTGTAGAGAAGTTCCCGACGCAGGCGTATGTGCAGCCTATGCCTGTGAGCGGTGGGAACCAGTGGGATCACGACCAGGGGCAGGGGCAGGGGTATTATGGCGGGTATGCCCAGCAGCAGCAGCAGCAGCAGCAGCAGCAGCAGCAGCACCAGCAGGCGTATGAGCTGCCGCAGCCACCGTCGCACCAGCAGCCCGCGATCTACGAGGGGGGGTACCGCAGCTAGGTGCCAGTGGCGGCTGCACGCTGTCGTGGGTGGAGGGCGGATTGCCGGGGGGGGGATTTTTCTGCACGGCGTCATTTTCATGGGCACGGGTGATGACATAGTGCCTAGCGGGTGCAGCACGTGGACTGGACCGGACGGTGATGATTATCGCATGGAGGCAGACGGAGCGTGCAACTTTGTTTGTGGTTACCTACCTACCTACTTAACTTCAGTTGACGTGCAGAGCGCATTTGAGCCGGAGTTGGGGGCGTCTTCGTCACGCGTGCGAGGGCATTGCATTGCATGTAATTAATGATCGGTTTTGCTAGAGCGTTGATACTCAAGTATTATTTATTATGATTGATATAATCTTTGCCATCCTTGCTCACCTTCATGTTCTTTTGTTGTGCTAGGTGTATTTGGATTTGTTCTAAAATACAGACCTAGGATGCACGCAGACTTGTACAATTGTTGTTGGTGGTTCTGCAAGCACCGTGCATGTAAACAAAGCCCCTGAGTCTGTCTCGTTTCTTTCATTCCCTGAGCAATCATCAAGACACTTTATAATCACCGAATCCATTCCATTATTGAAACGTTATAACACTTGTTCCGATATCCTATCATGTTATTTTCTGTCATCGCATTTTCGGACAAGATGGGAACATGAAGCGGGTCTTTGTATACGGTATAGACGTTCGCGCATTACATGGAAGATGCCAATGAAAGTTCAGTTTTAATAAAAACTAGCACACCCCCAGACTTGACATAACTATCCCCAAGCAAAGACAATAGACATGCTCTCCTGTACTACCGCGCTCTTTCCTGAACACCTTACCCTACCTACCTACCTCCTAACGACAAACCTCCTCAAATCTCCACAACCCCATCCCCCTCGTAAATCGGATAAATCCCCGCGATCCGCGCCGTCTGCCCATCCACGCTCCCAGTCACAGTAAACGTCATGGTCCCCAGATCCGACGGGCCGACGCCGCCCTGCGGGTTCGCGAACCGCACATACGTCCACTCCTTGGTGGCGCCGCTCACGCCCCCCAGCGTCCAGGACGTGGGATACGGGTACGAGGCGTTCAGGCCCGGGACAAAGTGCCAGCCCCGGATGGAATAGTCGGTGATGTAATTGGCCGGGTCCGACTGGATGTAAACGCCCTCGTAGACGAATTGCTCGTTGAAGAAGAACTCGAACTCTACCGGCTGGGCGTTGAAGGCCTGCGCGAAGTAGGTCGTTGCGTCGTAGTCGGTCAGGCCGGAGCTGGGGTACGCTGCTTGCTCGGCGGGGGATTGGCGGGTGTCGATGATGGGTAGGTCTGACGCGCCGTTGGAGTTGGTCCCGTCTCTCCAGCGGTTGAGTTTGATCTCGGAGTGGTTGGGGATTGTTGGTGTGGAGGTGGGGGGAGAGGTCACGGTGGAGGTGGGGATGGTTGACGGTGTGGATGTTGCACTGGTCACAAAGGTTGTCGGTGTGGATGTGGATGTCACAGTAGCCGTTGTCGAGGGTTGGTCGGCGCAGCTGGCACGGGTGTTGTTGGGGTAGAAGATGGTGTCGCCGGGGAAGATGGGGTACACCTCGTTGATCCTCGACGTGGCCCCCTTTGCGCCGGTCGGGTAGATGAAGATGGTGTCGGTGGAGATGCCCGGCTGGCCGTCCAGGCCGGTGAATGCCACGAGGGTGAAGTTGGACGTGGCGCCGCAGACTTGGCCGACGG